GAATACGCCTTCTGGAGTGGCCCAGTCAGAGTCCTGACCTCAACCCCATTGAAATGCTGTGGCATGACCTTAAGAGAGCGATTCACACCAGACATCCCAAGAATATTGCTACACTGAAACAGTTTTGTGAAGAGGAGTGGTCCAAAATGACTCCAGATCGTTGTGCAGGTCTGATCTGCAACTACAGGAAACGTTTGGTTGAGGTTATTGCTGCCAAAGGAGGGTCAACCAGTTATTAAGTCCAAAGGTTCACATACTATTTCCTCCCTGCGCTGTGAATGTTTACATGTTATGTGCAATTAAACCATGGCAACATCTAATGTTTGTGTAGTATTATGTTCAGCAGACTGTGTTCTTCTATTGTTGTGACTTAGATGACGATCAGAGCACATTTTGTGCCCAATTCATGCAAAACTCCACGTAATCCCAAGGGGTTCACATACTTTTTCTTGCAACTGTATATGTCTATTAGGAACCGCATATTTTCTCTATAAGAGCAATTTTTGGAAAGCCTGACTTGGGTATATACACTCAGGTATATTTTGCCTGCTTTGATTAGCCCGGACTTTATATACACAGACCTCCTGGCTTTCCACCCCCATACCTATCACCAGAAATATAAAGACCTGATCTCATTTCAAGTGAGGTGGAGTCTCCTTGATCTTATTCATGAACCACTTGCGATTGTGGATTCATTTCTAGTTGGGGTGGTCACCCAGGAAGGCCTCATATTCATCATTTTTTCATGATGGCCAAGCTTATGAGAAGGAAGTCATTTTTGTTTATTATGGTGTTTCTTTGAAGAATGATCTCCCTATCCAGATACTATGTGGGACCATAAGGGACTCTATGACCATATAGCTAGGATCTCCCTATCCAGATACTATGTGGGACCATAAGGGACTCTATGACCATATAGCTAGGATCTCCCTATCCAGATACTATGTGGGACCATAAGGGACTCTATGACCATATAGCTAGGATCTCCCTATCCAGATACTATGTGGGACCATAAGGGACTCTATGACCATATAGCTAGGATCTCCCTATCCAGATACTATGTGGGACCATAAGGGACTCTATGACCATATAGCTAGGATCTCCCTATCCAGATACTATGTGGGACCATAAGGGACTCTATGACCATATAGCTAGGATCTCCCTATCCAGATACTATGTGGGACCATAAGGGACTCTATGACCATATAGCTAGGATCTCCCTATCCAGATACTATGTGGGACCATAAGGGACTCTATGACCATATAGCTAGGATCTCCCTATCCAGATACTATGTGGGACCATAAGGGACTCTATGACCATATAGCTAGGATCTCCCTATCCAGATACTATGTGGGACCATAAGGGACTCTATGACCATATAGCTAGGATCTCCCTATCCAGATACTATGTGGGACCATAAGGGACTCTATGACCATATAGCTAGGATCTCCCTATCCAGATACTATGTGGGACCATAAGGGACTCTATGACCATATAGCTAGGATCTCCCTATCCAGATACTATGTTGGACCATAAGGGACTCTATGACCATATAGCTAGGATCTCCCTATCCAGATACTATGTGGGACCATAAGGGACTCTATGACCATATAGTTAGGATCTCCCTATCCAGATACTATGTGGGACCATAAGGGACTCTATGACCATATAGCTAGGATCTCCCTATCCAGATACTATGTGGGACCATAAGGGACTCTATGACCATATAGTTAGGATCTCCCTATCCAGATACTATGTGGGACCATAAGGGACTCTATGACCATATAGCTAGGATCTCCCTATCCAGATACTATGTGGGACCATAAGGGACTCTATGACCATATAGCTAGGATCTCCCTATCCAGATACTATGTGGGACCATAAGGGACTCTATGACCATATAGCTAGGATCTCCCTATCCAGATACTATGTGGGACCATAAGGGACTCTATGACCATATAGTTAGGATCTCCCTATCCAGATACTATGTGGGACCATAAGGGACTCTATGACCATATAGCTAGGATCTCCCTATCCAGATACTATGTGGGACCATAAGGGACTCTATGACCATATAGCTAGGATCTCCCTATCCAGATACTATGTGGGACCATAAGGGACTCTATGACCATATAGCTAGGATCTCCCTATCCAGATACTATGTGGGACCATAAGGGACTCTATGACCATATAGCTAGGATCTCCCTATCCAGATACTATGTGGGACCATAAGGGACTCTATGACCATATAGCTAGGATCTCCCTATCCAGATACTATGTGGGACCATAAGGGACTCTATGACCATATAGCTAGGATCTCCCTATCCAGATACTATGTGGGACCATAAGGGACTCTATGACCATATAGCTAGGATCTCCCTATCCAGATACTATGTGGGACCATAAGGGACTCTATGACCATATAGCTAGGATCTCCCTATCCAGATACTATGTGGGACCATAAGGGACTCTATGACCATATAGTTAGGATCTCCCTATCCAGATACTATGTGGGACCATAAGGGACTCTATGACCATATAGCTAGGATCTCCCTATCCAGATACTATGTGGGACCATAAGGGACTCTATGACCATATAGCTAGGATCTCCCTATCCAGATACTATGTGGGACCATAAGGGACTCTATGACCATATAGCTAGGATCTCCCTATCCAGATACTATGTGGGACCATAAGGGACTCTATGACCATATAGCTAGGATCTCCCTATCCAGATACTATGTGGGACCATAAGGGACTCTATGACCATATAGCTAGGATCTCCCTATCCAGATACTATGTGGGACCATAAGGGACTCTATGACCATATAGCTAGGATCTCCCTATCCAGATACTATGTGGGACCATAAGGGACTCTATGACCATATAGCTAGGATCTCCCTATCCAGATACTATGTGGGACCATAAGGGACTCTATGACCATATAGCTAGGATCTCCCTATCCAGATACTATGTGGGACCATAAGGGACTCTATGACCATATAGCTAGGATCTCCCTATCCAGATACTATGTGGGACCATAAGGGACTCTATGACCATATAGCTAGGATCTCCCTATCCAGATACTATGTGGGACCATAAGGGACTCTATGACCATATAGCTAGGATCTCCCTATCCAGATACTATGTGGGACCATAAGGGACTCTATGACCATATAGTTAGGATCTCCCTATCCAGATACTATGTGGGACCATAAGGGACTCTATGACCATATAGCTAGGAAAAGTCCATTGCCTTATGTGGATTCCTGCCTGCCGATCAATAACCATTTTCGAAGACGCCGTATGCTTTTTAATTTTGTTATTTTATTTATCATGATTTGTTCACCGTGTTTATGTCTTACCTCTTCATGATCCATGTGATCAAATGAATATTTCTGTAGCTATTAATGCAGTTATATTTTTCTCCGCTTGGATTTTCAATTAACCACTTTTTGCAGGTAGTGTTGCTCTTGTCATACTGCCATATTTTTTACTTAGTAGAGAGCTTGGCCTTAGCAATGGCCTTAGCGATGAGTCTGTGGGCATTTCTCTCTTTACCTTGGGATATGCTCTCAGTTGGGAATGAGTGTCCCTACAAATAATGGAAAAGCCCCGACACGTCAGGATGGCAGTTTATACCCTACTGGCCCTACTTGCTTAGGAAGGGCCTCTTGTTTAGAGACCATTTTCCCCAAGTGACAGCGGAGCCTCCTGTATACTGTTCTGTATTTGCAATCTGCCTGTGCCAGTATTTGCTATTGTGACATGTTGTCTGTGCTGGAATTGCATTGTTATGTTGAGGTTCCCTTCCAACGCTTATTCCACATATAATAAAGCCCATTCCATTGTTATCTGGTGTATCAGTGGTTGTCGGGTCAGGTACAGGGCGAGTCATCTCTGTGAGAAACAGAAGGACTCAAAAAGGCCATGTCCACTGGGGGCAGAACTATAGAGATGGAGAGGGGGAGGGGGAGAAGGAGAGAGGGGGATGGTGACTTTTCATTGGTTTGTCTCTCTGTATATCAGGGGTCTCCAAATGTTCTAAACCAAAGGCCAGTTTACTGTCCTTTAGACTTTAGGGGGGCCAGACTGTGGCCTTCGGGAGTACAAAACATCACAGCATGAGAGGGAGTAACAATAACCCATCATTGGTGTCATTGGGAATAACTGTTCCCCATCTCTGCTGTCATTTGGAGGATTTGTGCCCTTAATTAGCATTAGTGAGTAAAATAGTTCCCCAAGGGACAGATAAAAGCGGGTAAAGGACCATATCGGGCCCCCAGGCTGCAGTTTGGAGACAACTGCTGTAAATGTATATACTATTGTACGCTCTTTTCCCAGGTCATGTCACTGAAGCACGAGAACTTCCAGAACTTTCAAGAAGACACGACACCCAAAAACAGAGGAAATGACTTTCAAGGTAAGAACATCCAACTTGCAGGACAGGAGAAGTGGGACTGTGCAGAGTCCATACATACAGAAATAGGACAGATACCGAGAATGACACCCGGCATCCAGGACAGGAGAAGTGGGACTGTGCAGAGTCCATACATACAGAATGGGGACAGATACCGAGAATGACACCCGGCATCCAGAACAGGAGAAGTGGGACTGTGCAGAGTCCATACACACAGAATAAGGACAGATACCGAGAATGACACCCGGCATCCAGGACAGGAGAAATGGGACTGTGCAGAGTTCATACATACAGAATAGGGACAGATACCGAGAATGACACCCGGCATCCGGGACAGGAGAAGTGGGACTGTGCAGAGTCCATACATACAGAAATAGGACAGATACCGAGAATGACACCCGGCATCCAGGAAAGGAGAAGTGGGACTGTGCAGAGTCCATACATACAGAATAAGGACAGATACCGAGAATGACACCCGGCATCCAGAACAGGAGAAGTGGGACTGTGCAGAGTCCACACATACAGAATAAGGACAGATACCGAGAATGACACCCGGCATCCGGGACAGGAGAAGTGGGACTGTGCAGAGTCCACACATACAGAATAAGGACAGATACCGAGAATGAAACCCGGCATCCAGGACAGGAGAAATGGGACTGTGCAGAGTCCATACATACAGAATAAGGACAGATACCGAGAATGACACCCGGCATCCGGGACAGGAGAAGTGGGACTGTGCAGAGTCCATACATACAGAATGGGGACAGATACCGAGAATGACACCTGGCATCCGGGACAGAAGAAGTGGGACTGTGCAGAGTCCATACATAGAGAATAAGGACAGATACCAAGAATTGCACCCACATTGAAGTCAAGGTACCCTGGAACTATGCTCCAGTTTCAGCAAGTAAAATGATCTTGGAGTCAGTGGGCGTTCCTTTGATCAGTCAGAAGTTAGAGTTCTGTCTTACAGTTGTGATTTCCTTAATATGGTTCCTACATAATAATATGAATTGTGGGGTTCACACAAGATACATAGGACCCCATAATGACACTATCACATATTTTTCTCTGTGTGATTACTAGGGGTCATCATGAAAGGCGAGATCACCCGGCCTTCCACCACTCTCATCTGCTCCCTGTCAGCACTCTGCCCAGGACTTCTCATCATCATCATCATCCTCATCATCACAATGACACGTGAGTGAGCTGTCAAAACATTTATCTTCCTGTTAACTATAAGTGAATAAAATATCCAGCAGGAGCCTTTACTCCCATCCACCCCAAATCTCACCTAGAGCCAGTTAACTTTCCGTAAAGGTTAAAAAATGGTTCTACACAAATCTCCTTCCCTATTGTATCTAGTGTACCCGACTGTCATCGCCTCCATCCTCTGCCATCTCCTTCTGTATTGTATCTAGTGTACCCAACTCTCATCATCTCCATCCACCGCCATCTCCCTCCCTATTGTATCTAGTGTACCCAACTGTCATCACCTCCATCCACCGCCATCTCCTTCCCTATTGTATCTAGTGTACCCAACTGTCATCACCTCCATCCACTGCCATCTCCTTCCCTATTGTATCCAGTGTACCCGACTGTCATCACCTCCATCCACCGCCATCTCCTTCCCTATTGTATCCAGTGTACCCAACTGTCATCACCTCCATCCTCTGCCATCTCCTTCTGTATTGTATCTAGTGTACCCAACTCTCATCATCTCCATCCACCGCCATCTCCCTCCCTATTGTATCTAGTGTACCCAACTGTCATCACCTCCATCCACCGCCATCTCCTTCCCTATTGTATCTAGTGTACCCAACTGTCACACCTCCATCCACTGCCATCTCCTTCCCTATTGTATCCAGTGTACCCGACTGTCATCACCTCCATCCACCGCCATCTCCTTCCCTATTGTACCTAGTGTACCCGACTGTCATCACCTCCATCCACTGACATCTCCTTCCATATTGTACCTAGTGTACCCGACTGTCATCACCTCCATCCACTGCCATCTCCTTCCATATTGTATCTAGTGTACCCAACTGTCATCACCTCCATCCACTGCCATCTCCTTCCCTGTTGTATCTAGTGTACCCAACTGTCATCACCTCCATCCACCGCCATCTCCTTCCCTATTGTATCTAGTGTAACCAACTGTCATCACCTCCATCCACTGACATCTCCTTCCATATTGTACCTAGTGTACCCAACTGTCATCACCTCCATCCACTGCCATCTCCTTCCCTATTGTATCTAGTGTACCCGACTGTCATCACCTCCATCCACCGCCATCTCCTTCCCTATTGTATCTAGTGTACCCAACTGTCATCACCTCCATCCACTGACATCTCCTTCCCTATTGTATCTAGTGTACTCAACTTTCATCAACTCCATCCACCGCCATTCCTTTCCCTATTGTATCTAGTTTTCCTGACTGTCATCACCTCAATCCACTGCCTTCTACTCCTTTATTGTATCTAGTGTACCCAACTGTCATCACCTACATCCACTGCCATCTGTTTCCATATTGTATCTAGTGTACCCAACTGTCCTCATCTCCATCCACCGCCATTTCTTTCCCTATTATGTCTAGTGTACCCAACTGTCATCACCTCCATCCACTGCCATTTCTTTCCCTTTTGTATCTAGTGTACCCAACTGTCATCACCTTCATCCACTGCCATCTCCTTCCCTATTGTATCTAGTGTACCCGACTAACATCACCTCCATCCACTGCCATCTCCTTCCATATTGTATCTATTGTATGCAACTGCCATCACTTCCATCCACTGACATCTCCTTCTTTATTATATCTAGTGTTCCCAACTATCATCACCTCCATCCAATGCCATATCCTTCCCTATTGTATCTAGTGTACCCGACTGTCATCCCCCCATCCACTACCATCTCCTTTTCTTTTTGTATCTAGTGAACTCAACTGTCATCACCTCCATCCACCGCCATCTCCTTCCCTATTGTATCTAGTGTATCCAACTGCCATCACCTCCATCCACCGCCATCTCCTTCCCTATTGTATCTAGTGTGCTTGACTGTCATCACCTCCATCCACCGCCATCTCCTTCCCAATTGTATCCAGTGTACCCAACTGTCATCACCTCCATCCACCGCCATCTCCTTCCCTATTGTATCTAGTGTACCCGACTGTCATCACCTCCATCCACCGCCATCTCCTTCCATATAGTATCTAGTGTACCCGACTGTCATCACCTCCATTCACCGCCATCTCCTTCTATATTGTATGTAGTGTACCCGACTGTCATCACCTCCATTCACCGCCATCTCCTTCCCTATTGTATCTAGTGTACCCGACTGTCATCACCTCCATCCACCGCCATCTCCATCCCTATTGTATCCAGTGTACCCGACTGTCATCACCTCCATCCACCGCCATCTCCTTCCCTATTGTATCTAGTGTAACCAACTGTCATCACCTCCATCCACTGACATCTCCTTCCATATTGTACCTAGTGTACCCGACTGTCATCACCTCCATCCACTGCCATCTCCTTCCATATTGTATCTAGTGTACCCAACTGCCATCACCTCCATCCACTGCCATCTACTTCCCTGTTGTATCTAGTGTACCCGACTGTCATCACCTCCATCCACCGCCATCTCCTTCCCTATTGTATCTAGTGTACCCGACTGTCATCACCTCCATCCACTGACATCTCCTTCTTTATTGTATCTAGTGTACCCAACTGTCATCACCTCCATCCACTGCCATCGCCTTCCATATTGTATCTAGTGTACCCGACTGTCATCACCTCCATCCACCACCATCTCCTTCATATTGTATCTAGTGTACCCGACTGTCATCACCTCCATCCACCACCATCTCCTTCCATATTGTATCTAGTGTATCCAACTGCCATCACCTCCATACACTGCCATCTCCTTCCCAATTGTATCTAGTGTACCCGACTGTCATCACCTCCATCCACCGCCATCTCCTTCCATATTGTATCTAGTGTACCTGACTGTCATCACCTCCATCCACCACCATTTCCTTCCCTATTGTATCTAGTGTACCCAACTGTCATCGCCTCCATCTACTGCCATCTCCTTCCCTATTATATCTAGTGTACCCGACTGTCATCACCTCCATCCACCGTCATCTCCTTCCATATTGTATCTAGTGTATCCAACTGCCATCACCTCCATACACTGCCATCTCCTTCCATATTGTATCTAGTGTATCCAACTGCCATCACCTCCATCCACCACCATCTCTTCCATATTGTATCCAGTGTACCCAACTGTCATCACCTCCATCCACCACCATCTCCTTTCCATTTGTATCTCGTGTATCCAACTGTCATCCCTCCATCCACCGCCATCTCCTTCCCTATTGTATCTAGTGTACCCAACTGTCATCACCTCCATCCACCGCCATCTCCTTCCCTATTGTATCTAGTGTACCCAACTGTCATCACCTCCATCCACCGCCATCTCCTTCCCTATTGTATCTAGTGTACCCAACTGTTATCACCTCCATCCACCGCCATCTCCTTCCCTATTGTATCTATTGTATCCAACTGCCATCACCTCCATCCACCACCATCTCCTTCCATATTGTATCCAGTGTACCCAACTGTCATCACCTCCATCCACCACCATCTCCTTTCCATTTGTATCTCGTGTATCCAACTGTCATCCCTCCATCCACCGCCATCTCCTTCCCTATTGTATCTAGTGTACCCAACTGTCATCACCTCCATCCACCGCCATCTCCTTCCCTATTGTATCTAGTGTACCCAACTGTCATCACCTCCATCCACCGCCATTACTTTCCCTATTGTATCTAGTTTTCCTGACTGTCATCACCTCAATCCACTGCCTTCTACTCCTTTATTGTATCTAGTGTACCCAACTGTCATCACCTACATCCACTGCCATCTGTTTCCATATTGTATCTAGTGTACCCAACTGTCCTCATCTCCATCCACCGCCATTTCTTTCCCTATTATGTCTAGTGTACCCAACTGTCATCACCTCCATCCACTGCCATTTCTTTCCCTTTTGTATCTAGTGTACCCAACTGTCATCACCTTCATCCACTGCCATCTCCTTCCCTATTGTATCTAGTGTACCCGACTAACATCACCTCCATCCACTGCCATCTCCTTCCATATTGTATCTATTGTATGCAACTGTCATCACCTCCATCCACTGACATCTCCTTCTTTATTATATCTAGTGTTCCCAACTATCATCACCTCCATCCAATGCCATATCCTTCCCTATTGTATCTAGTGTACCCGACTGTCATCCCCCCATCCACTACCATCTCCTTTTCTTTTTGTATCTAGTGTACCCAAGTGTCATCCCAACATCCACTGCCATATCCTTCCCTATTGTATCTAGTGTACTCAACTGTCATCACCTCCATCCACTGCCATATCCTTCCCTATTGTATCTAGTGAACTCAACTGTCATCACCTCCATCCACCGCCATCTCCTTCCCTATTGTATCTAGTGTATCCAACTGCCATCACCTCCATCCACCGCCATCTCCTTCCCTATTGTGTCTAGTGTGCTCGACTGTCATCACCTCCATCCACCGCCATCTCCTTCCCAATTGTATCCAGTGTACCCAACTGTCATCACCTCCATCTACCGCCATCTCCTTCCCTATTGTATCTAGTGTACCTGACTCTCATCACCTCCATCCACCGCCATCTCCTTCCCTATTGTATCTAGTGTACCCAACTGTCATCACCTCCATCTACCGCCATCTCCTTCCCTATTGTATCTAGCGTACCCGACTGTCATCACCTCCATCCACCACCATCTCCTTCCCTATTGTATCCAGTGTACCCAACTGTCATCACCTCCATCCACCGCCATCTCCTTCCCTATTGTATCTAGTGTACCCGACTGTCATCACCTCCATTCACTGCCACCTCCTTCCATATTGTATCTAGTGTATCCAACTGCCATCACCTCCATCCACCACCATCTCCTTCCATATTGTATCCAGTGTACCCAACTGTCATCACCTCCATCCACCACCATCTCCTTTCCATTTGTATCT